TCTTTTAGCTTAGGATTGTTTGGCTATACAGGCTCTGTTTAGCTCCCATATGAAGTTTAAGGTGGTGTTTTTTTACAGGTTTGTGAAGAAGGTCATTGGTAGCTTGATGGGGATAGCATTGAATCTATAAATTACTTTGGGCAGTATGGCCATTTTCACGATATGGATTCTTCCTAACCATGAGCATGGAATGTTTCTCCATCTGTTTGTGTCCTCTCTTATTTCCTTGAGCAGTGGTTTGTAGTTCTCCTGAAAGAGGTCCTTTACATCCTTTGTTAATTGTATTCCTAGGTATTTTATTCTCTTTGTAGCAATTTGGAATGGGAGTTTGAACATGATTTGGCTCTCTGCTAGTCTGTTATTGGTGTATAGAAATGCTTGTGATTTCTGCACATTGATTTTGTATCCTGAGACTTTACCAAAGTTGATTATCAGTTTAAGGAGATTTTGGGTTGAGATGATTGGGTATTCTAAATATACAATCATGTCGTCTGCAAATAGAGACAATTTGACTTCCTATTTTCCTAATTCAATACCCTTTATTTTTTTTTCTTGCCTGATTTCTCTGGCTAGAACTTCCAATACTATATTGAATAGGAGTGGTGAGAGAGGGCATCATTGTCTAGTGCCAGTTTTCAAAGGAAATGCTTCCAGTTTTTGCCCATTCAGTATGACATTGGCTGTAGTTTTGTCATAAATAGCTTTTATTGTTTTGAGATATGTTACTTCAATACCTAGTTTATTGACAGTTTTTAGCATAAAGGGCTGTTGAATTTTGTCAAAGGCCTTCTCTGCATCTATTGAGATAATCGTGTAGTTTTTGTCTTTCCTTCTGTTTGTGTAGTGGATTACATTTACAGACTTGCATATGTTGAACCAGCCTTGCATCGCTGGAATGAAGCCTAGTTGATTGTGATGGATAAGCTTTTTGATGTGCTGTTGCAATCAGTTTGCCAGTATTTTATTGAAGATTTTTGCATCTATGTTCATCATGGATATTGGCCTGAAGTTTTCTTTTTATTCTTTTTTTTTTTTTTTTTTTTTTTTTGTCTCTGTCGGGTTTTTTATCAGGATGATTTTGGTCTCATAAAATGATTTGGGAATAATTCCCTCTTTTTGTATTGTTTGGAATACTTTCTGAAGGAATGATACCAGCTGCTCTTTGTACGTTTGGTAGAATTCAGCTATGAACCCATCTGGACCTGGACTTTTTTGGGTTGGAAAGCTATTAATTGCTGCCTCAACTTCAGCCCCTGTTATTAGTTTATTCAAAGTTTCAGCTTCTTCCTGGTTTAGGCTTGAGAGGATGCAAGCGTCCAGGAATTTATCCATTTCTTCCAGGTTTACTGGTTTATGTGCATAGAGTGGTTTGTAGTATTCTCTGATTATAGTTTGTATTTCTGTGGAATCTGTGATGAAATACCCTTTATCGTTTTTTATTTGCATCTATTTGATTCTTTTCCCTTTTCTTTTTCATTAATCTGCCAGCATTCTGTCTGTTTTGTTGATCTTTTCAAAAAACTAGCTCCTGGATTTATTGACTTTTTGAAGGTTTTTTTTGTGTCTGTATCTCCTTCAGTTCTGCTCTGATCTTCATTGTTTCTTGTCTTCTACCAGCTTTTTAGTTTTTTTTGGTCTTATTCCTGTAGCTCTTTCAATGTTGATGTTAGAGTGTCAATTTTAGATCTTTCCTCGCTTCTCATATGCGCATTTATTGCTATAAATTTCCCTTTAGACACTGCTTTAAATATGTCCCAGAGTTTCTGGTATGTTGTGTCTTCGTTCTTATTGGTTTCAAAGAACATCTTTGTTTCTGCCTTTATTTCACTGTTTATCCAGTCGACTTTCAGGAGCCAGTTGTTCAGTTTCCATGAAACTGTGCAGTTCTGAGTTAGTTTCCTAATTGTGAGTTCTAATTTGATTGCCCTGTAGTCTGAGAGACTGTTTGTTATGATTTCCGTTCTTTTGCATTTGCTGAGGAGTGATTTACTTCTAATTATGTGGTCAATTTTAGAGTAGGTACAATGTGGTGCTGAGAAGAATGTATATTCTGTGGATTTGTGGTGGAGATTTCTGTAGATGTCTATTAGGTCCACTTGGTCCAGATCTGAGTTCAAGTCCTGGATATCCTTTTTAATTTTCTGTCTTGTTGATCTATCTGATATTGACAGTGGAGTGATAAGGTATTCCAGTATTATTGTGTGAGAGTCTAAGTCTCTTTGTAAGTCATTAAAAACTTGCTTTATGTATCTGAGTGCGCCTGTATTGGGTGCATGTATAGTTAGGATCATTAGCTCTTCTTGATGCATTGATCCTTTTACCATTATGTAATGCCCTTCTTTGTCTCTTTTGTTCTTTGTTGGTTTCAAGTCCATTTTATCAGAGACTAGGATTGCAACTGCTTTTTTATTTTGCTCTCCTTTGCTTGATAAATATTTTTCCATTCCTTTATTTTGAGTCTATATGTTTCCTTGCACATGAGATGCGTTTCCTGAATACAGCACACCAATGGGTCTTGACGTTTTTTCCAATTTGCCAGTCTGTGTCTTTTGATTGAGGCATTTAGCCCATTTACATTTAAGGTTAATATTGTTATGTTTGAATTTGATCCTGTCATTTTGCTGCTAGCTAGATGTTTTGCTCATTAGTTGATGCATTTTTTTTATTGTGTTGATGGTCTTTACCATTTGGTACATTTTTGGAGTGGCTGGTACTGGTTGTTCCTTTCCTTGTTTAGTACTTCTTTCAGGAGCTCTTGTAAGGCAGGCCTGGTGATGAAATCTCTCACCAATTGCCTGTCCATAAAGGATTTTCTTTCTCCTTCACTTACAAAGCTTAGTTTGTCTGGATATGAAATTCTAGGTTGAAAGTTCTTTTCTTTAGGATGTTGAATATTGGCCTGCACTCTCTTCTGGCTTGTAGGGTTTCTGCAGAGAGATCTGCTGTGAGTCTGATGGGCTTCCCTTTGTGGGTAACCTGACCTTTCTCTCTGGCTGCCCTTAGCATTTTTCTCTTCATTTCAACCCTGGTGAATCTGACGATTATGTGCCTTGGGGTTGCTCTTCTTGAGGAATATCTTTGTTATGTTCTCTGTATTTCCTGGACTTGAATGGTGGCCTGACTTGCTAGGTTGGGGAAGTTCTCCTGGATAATACCCTGAAGAGTGTTTTCTAGCTTGGGTTCATTCTCTCCATCACATTCAGGTTCACCTATCAAATGTAGATTAGGTCTTTTCATATAATCCCACATTTCTTGAAGGCTTTGTTCATTTCTTTTCACTCTTTTTTCTCTATTCTTGCCTTCTGGCTTTATTTCATTGAGTTGATCTTCAATCTCTGATATCCTTTCTTCTTCTTGGTCAATTCAGCTATTGAAACTTGTGTATGCTTCATGAAGTTCTTGTGCTATGTTTTTCAGCTCCATCAAGTAGTTTATATTCTTCTCTAAGCTGTTTATTTTAGTTAGCATATCATCTAACCTTTTTTCTAGGTTCTTAGTTTCTTTGCATTGGGTTAGCACATGTTCTTTTTGCTCAGAGAAGTTTCTTATTACCCATCTTCTGAAGCCTGTTTCCGCCAATTTATCAGATTTATTCTCCATCTATCTTTGATTCCTAGCTGGTGAGGAATTGTGATCCTTTGGAGGAGGAGAGGCATCCTGGTTTTTGGTGTTTTCATCATTTTTGTGCTGGTTTCTACCATCTTAGTGGCTTTATCTACCTGTGGTCTTTGTAGTTGGTGACTTTCGGATGGGTTCTCTGAGTAGACCTCCTTTTTGTTGATAATGAAGTTATTTCTTTCTGTTTCTTAGTTTTCCTTCTAACAGTCAGGCCCCTCTTGTGCAGGACTGCTGGAGGTCCACTCCAGACCCTGCTTGCCTGGGGATCACCTGTGGGGCCTGTAGTACAATAAGGTTTGCTGCTTGTTTCTTCTTCTGTTATCTTTGTCCCAGAAGGGTACCTACCAGATGTCAGCCTGAGCTCTCCTTTATGAGGTGTCTCTTTGGGTATACGGGGTTCAGGGAGCTGCTTGAGGAGATGGTCTGTCTCTTCCAGAAGCTCAGGTGTTGTGCTGTGAGCTCTCTTGTTCTGTGCAGAGCTGCTGGGCAAGTACTTTTAAGTCTGCTGCAGCAGAACTCATAATCACCTCTTTTCCCAGGTGTTCTGTCCTAGGATGGTTGGCTTTATTTATAAGTTCCTGTGGTGCTGCTGCTTTTTTTCATAGATGCCCTGCTTAGCACAGGGTAATCTAGTAACAATCTGCCAGCAGAGGCATTGCTGAGCTACTGCAGGGTCTGCCCAGCTGCTGTGTGAACTGCCTCGGTAATGGTGGACTGTCTCAGTAGTAGTGGTAGCCCTTCTCCCCATGATCTGGGCTGTCCTGGGTCCAGCTGCACTTGCTTCAAAACTCTCAATCCAGAGCATTTCAGATTGCTTGTTTTGTGTGGGTGGTACCCACGAAGCTAGATCACCTTGGCTCCCTGTTTCTGCCCCCTCCTTTTCAGCTGAATGGGTGGCTCTGTCTCCCAGGCATGCCAGGTGCCAGTTGAAAGAGCCACCCAGATTTGTGTGAGTTTCTGTGCACCAACCCAGCACCACCTGAAACTGCTGTGCTAAAAACTCATGGTACTTTTTGGCTGGAGAGTCTCCTGGTCTGTGGGCAATGAAAATTTGTTTGGAAATGCAGTGGGCACTCACCATCTACATCGTTCTTGCTGGGAACTGCACTCTGGAGCTGTTCCTATTTTGCCATCTTTGATCTTCCCACATATAAGCTTCTATATATGTTAGATATGTTTAGAAGAAACCTCTAGGGGCATTAATTTTTCAAAACACAAAAAAGTACAACTGCCTATGAGGGACAAACAATTAGAAAATGAGATTTATTTAATCGTGAAGAGAAAATGACAAGTAGGTTCAGTAATAATTTTATATATAATTTCTAGAATTTTAATATGTTTTCTTTTCCACTGAACAGAAGAATTTTCTTTTCCCTCTTTAGCATTCAAGTGTTTCACTGTCTTAAACATGAAGGAACTGGTGGCAGGACACTGCTAGTAGATGGATTCTATGCAGCACAACAGGTTCTCCAAAAGGCACCTGAGGAATTTGAACTCCTCAGTAGAGTGCCACTAAAGCATGAATATATTGAAGACGTTGGAGAATGTCACAACCACATGATTGGGGTTGGGCCAGTCTTAAATATCTACCCATGGAATAAAGAGTTGTATTTGATCAGGTGAGTACCAAAGAACTACCCTGAATTGTAATATATTTTCCAAAGATTAGCCTTCTAATGTAACAAAAATCCCTAAGATTCTTATATCTGCCATATTTTAATCTTCCTATTCTATGGCTTTTTATTATAGAACAGCTTGTATTCTTATAATTCCCATGAAATAATAAATAGTCATCAACCAAAGAATACTAGATTATTTTGGGGATGGGGTCAAATATTAGAGGTAGTATATTTAAAATGAAAACATTATTAAAATGAAAAACAGTTATTAAGCTATCCTCAGTGACCAAACAGCTAGGTTACCCAACAACATTTGTGTCTCTAGCCCAGATTTATGCAAAGCTCCTGACCAGTGTATTCAATTGACTACTGATATCACAACTTAGATATTTTGTAGAATATAAAACATATCTTACTCAAAACTGAACTCATCACTTCCACTCATTTAACACCTACTTCTCCAACTGCTTTTCCATTTTCGTTGAATGGCACCACCATCTTTTATTTTTTCCCTCTCCCTTATATTGCACAACCTGTCTTATCAACTCAACCTCCTGTATTTTTCTCAGGCTATCCCCTGCTTTCTATCTACAATATCTCTTCTTGCAGTGAGACCACTCTTCTCTCCCACTATTAAAGTTTTAAGTGATGTGCTTACTTCCGCCATGAGCCCTTTTCTATTTTCATGCTGTAGCTAGAACATTCTTTCTGAAATAGAAGTGTTATCCTTTGCTCCCCTGCTAATATCCTTCTAAATCTCCTCAGTGTCTTTCAGAGAAAGACTAGAGTCCTTCCTTAAAACCTTTAAGGTTCTGCATGATCTGATCCCTTTTTACTCTTCTAGCATCATCCCATACAATTCATGTTTCCCACACATTCTGCCCTAGATATGCCAAACTACATTGGGTTTCTGGAGCCAATTATTTTTCATCTTGCAGCCACGCATTTTACTGTGCTTTTTTTTTTGCATATGGATTACCCCTCCTGCTTCTGCTTATTCTAAGCTAACCACTACTGTGCACTAATTCAGTTTCCTATACAAATATTTCTTGAGCATCTACCAAGAGTGTTGCTCTATTCTTGACACTGGAGATGAAACTGTAAGCACAACAGACAAAAAAAAAATTCTGGCCCTCTTGGAATTCTCATCATAGTGACAAGAGATAATAATTAAAAATAAATAAGCAAATATATAATATGTCAAATGATGATAAGTACTAGGGAAAATAATAAAACAATGAAGGAGATATGGGGTGAAGAGGCAGGGTGAAGATAGCTGCAAAACTTGACATACTACAAAGAGTACAGGCTTTGTAATCAGAAGGAGTTCATTGTGAAATCCTGACTGCCATTTATTGATTTTTGGTCTCGGACAAGTCACTTAACCTGCTAGTCATGAGTTTCCAGGTATAATAATAATAATAGCTTCTGTGCCCAGTTGTTGTGAACATAAAAATAAATTGTTACCCTCACCTTTGTTTCTGGCTTGTAGTAGGAACTATGTAAGTACTAATTTACTTCTCTTGGATAAGTTCCTCTGGTGTTGTGAACTGAACGTGAGCCCTGGAATCTCATCCAGCGAGAGGGTCCCAAACTTGGAAGAGAGTATGCGCGGAAAAGAAAGGAGACAGAGGAGGGGTCTGGAGGACTTGGTGGGCTATGCCCATACAGCGGTTTTATTTGTACAGTAGGTTTCCTTATATCCTTTTTTCTTTAACATTATTACCTCAATGTAGATCATTACTCAAACAATAAAAGGAACAGAAAATTCCTTGGGGGATGATTCTGAGGAACCGTCAAAAGGGAACAAATACTAACTTAAAAGATCAATGGGAAAGAGGTGATGCTGATTATCGATATTGTCAGAACAATCAGTAACTTGGATAAAAATCTCTAATTAACTAGAAGTCACAAGCTCAGCAGTAAACCGTGCATCTGCGAGAGACAAGGACCGCAGGGGAGGTCGCCGGGCTGAAACAATGCCTGGTAAACAAAGTCTTAGATCAGGAGCCAGAAAGGGGAACACAATACCCAATTAACTCACTTCAGCATTCACCTGGCCATTATCTCATTGGCCAAGAAGGCTGAGGATAGTGTCCTGCTTAATCATTCTCAATTTCCTCTTCCATTCTCTTCTTAATTTCCTCTCACTCATAGCTGGACAGCCTCCAGCCAGGGAAAATGTGTAAGGAGTCAAGCTCACCTAATGGTGGAGGCCAAGTTGTCAGCCTCTCGCAGGGGCGACCCCACACTCTGGGAAACTCTCCCTCTGTTATCTCTCATATATCTATTGCCTAAAACAATGAGTAGTAACTCAATGTTTTCCCAACATTTTATTATGAACATTTCTAAACACATAGAAAAGTTGAAAACATTTTGCACAGAAAACCCATAGACTTACATCTAGATTCTACCATTAAGATATTTCTATACTTTCTTTATCACCCATCTCCCCATCTATCCATTCATCAATCTTATTTTCAATGAATTTTAAAGTATAATACATTGCAGATATTAGTACATGTCTCCCTAAAATACGTCAACATTTATATCATTAAGTAGAGTTCAATATTTGCTTATAAGTTTTTTACAGTTAAAATCTATATGCAATGATGTTTACAATATTAAATATATACTCACTGAGTTTTGACAAATGCATATACCTATGTAACCCAAACCCCTATGAAGATATAAAATATTACTATTACTATAGGAAATATCTCATACACCTGTACATATATCTCAGCATAACCCATAGTTTGATTCTTTTTTTTTGAGACAGAGTTTCACTCTTGTTACCCAGGCTGGAGTGCAATGGCGTGATCTCGGCTCACTGCAATCTCCGCCTCCTGGGTTCAGGCAATTCTCCTGCCTCAGCCTCCTGAGCAGCTGGGATTACAGGCACGCGCCACCATGCCCAGCTAATTTTTTGTATCTTTAATAGAGACGGGGTTTTACCATGTTGACGAGGATGGTCTCGATCTCTTGAGCTCGTGATCCACCCGCCTTGGCCTCCCAAAGTGCTGGGATTACAGGCTTGAGCCACCACACCCGGCCGATTCTTTTTTTACCACTATGCATTAGATTTTTGCCTGATTTGTTTATCTCTTTTTTTACATATAGACACCTTGACTCTTTCCAGTTTTGGGTTGTTATGAATAATGTTGCTATGAACATTCATGTAAAAGTGTTTTTTTGGATATTTTTCCATTTCACTAAAGTAAATACTTAGGAGTGGAACTGCTGGGTCATAGAGTAGGTGAGTGCTTAGTTTTTTAAGCAACTGCAACAAGTTTTACCAAAGTAGTTGTACCATTTTACACTGTCATCAACAATGTATGAATTCTAGATACTTTAACTCCTTGCCAATACTTGGTGTTCTCAATCTCATTAATTTTGGGCATTATGGTAGCTGCCTCCTTGGGATTTAAATTTGATTTTTCTTGTGGCTACTGATGTTTAGGATCTTCTCATGTATTTATTAGCCATTCCTTTTTTTGAGCCAATAATTTTATTTGTTATTGACAATTAAAATAATATACATATATCTTGTATGACGTGTTGTTTTGAAATATGTGTACAATGAGGAATGGTTACAAAGAGCTAAGTAACATATGAACCACTTCCCAAAATTATTTTTTGTGGTGAGAACACATAAAATCTATTTTTTTAGCAATTTTCTTTTTCAAGTTTTATCTTCTTTTTGATTGGCACATAATAATTGTACATACTTGTTGGATATAGTGTGATGTTTTCATACATATGTGCATTGTGTAATGATCAATCAAGGTAATTAGTATATTTATCACCTCAAACACATTCAAAATTATCTCTTCTATCTATTTTGAATTATGCAACATATTATTGTTGACTTTTGTCACCCTATGCTGCAATAGATCAGCAAAACTTAATCCTCCTAACTAACTTTGTACTCAATGACCAACCTCTTCCCATCTCTCCTTCCCTCCTCCTCTCCCCTGCCTCTGGTAAACACTGTTCTATTCTCTGACTCTTTAACATCAACTTTTAAATTTATATTTATTTTCCTTTTATATTTTATTTTTGTGGTTACATAGTAGGTGTGTATATTTATGGGTTAGATGAGATGTTTTGATATAGGTATGAAGTGTGTAATAATCACATCAGGGTAAATGGGATATCCATCACTTCAAGCATTCATCTTTGTGTTACAAACAATCAAATTATGCTCTTTTGGTTATTTTAAAAGGCACGATAAAATTGTTATTATTATTATTATTGTTTTTACCAAAGTCTCCCTGTTGTGCTAGCAAATACTAGGCCTTATTCATTCTTTCTAACCATATTTGGTACCTATTAACCTTCCCCACTTCTCCCTCACCCTCCCACTAACCTTCTTAGCCTCTGGTAACCATCCTTCTACTCTCTATCTCCATTTCAATTATTTTGGTTTTCAGCTCCCACAAATAAGTGAGAACATACAAAGTCTGTCTTTCTGTGCCTGGTTTATTTCACCTAATGTGATGTCCTACAGGCTTATCCATGTTGCCACACATGAAAGGATCTGATTCTTTCTTATGGCTGAATAGTACTCCATTGTGCATATGCACCACATTTTCTTTATCCATTCATCTGTTGATAGACAGTCAGGTTGATTCCATATCTTGGCTATTGTGAATAGTGCTGCAATAAATGTGGGTGTGTTGCTCAAGGTTCTCCAGAGAGACAGAACCAATAGGATATATGAGAGAGGATTTGTGAGGTGTAATTGGTTCAGATGATTACAGAGGTGGAGAAGTCCCACACTAGGCCATCTGCAAGCTGGAGAACCAGAGAAGCTGGTAACACAATTCCCTCCAAGTCTGGAAGCCTCAGAACTAGGGAAGCCGATGGTACAGACCCCATTCTGAGGCCAAAGGCCTGAGAGCCCACAGGAGGCTGTTGATGTAAGTCCCAGAGTCTAAACGTGGAAGAAACTGGAGTCTGATGTCCAAGGGAAGGAGGAAGAAAGGCATCCTGCT